GACATGAAAATGGCATCCAATGCGAAGAAGTATAGGGAGGCCGGAAACGAAGCAGTAAAGTGAGTTTTTGTCTTTTATAATTCATACATTTTCTCACTCCTATACTTTCACAGTTCTAACATCCTTTCCAATAAAGTGATTTCCAACTTTCAATTGTTTTTATAGTCTTTAGTTTTTCGCATTCGCTAACATTTCCTATTATAGTATTCCGAACTCCAGAGTGTATATAATTACCAACTCTTCAAATGGCTCGATTCAATACGCAGCTGACTCTAAATCAGCCCGGCTACTTCATGTTCTTCAGGGATTAACTTAATGCATAAAGACGAGTACTATTTTTTTTCTTTTTTGTGTGATACCGGGAAACAATTAAACATTTTGAAGATATGAAGACCAAGATGTTGTGGCCTCTGGTATGGTCACAGTCTCCTTTATATTTATAGAAGTGGGTTGACCTCGTTATTGCAACTTGGTCTTGTTGTCAGGGCAAGTTAGTAGAACGCATCTAGTTCGAAGTCGTCTGTCATAGTAGTTGTCATGATTCCCAGCATCAGACAGTTGACTTGGTACATTCTCAAACGTTTCGCCGGCATCATCGGTGAGTTTTGCCATTCTTCTAATCAAGCTACGAACTCATCAAAGATACTTGTCTCTTTGATGCTGGAAATCATGACAACTACTATGGCAGACGACTTCGGACTAGGTGCGTTCTACTAACTCACCTTGACAACAAGGCCAAGTTGCGACAACGAGGTCAACCCAATTCTCAAATTAAAATTTTGTTTTTCTTCCTATTGACTTTAGTGCTGCTGAGTAGCATGACAAGGCAGCAGAGAAAGCAGACATCTCTCAAACAGTATTTTTTGCCAAGACTTCTGTATCAGCGTGCAGCCATAGGATCGTCATTAAAACCGATAGGCTACCGAAGTTTATTTAACGTCCGGTTAATGTATGATCTACTTCAACTATTGCTTATTATTGCCACCCATTATTTCGCAACAGAAGACTCGGGAATTGGCATCTCGCCATGGACTTGTATCGGCGTGGCCTTCTTCATTCGCCGGCAGCATTTACTGATACCCAAACACCCACACAGCCCGCTCTTGAACCGAATCCCGGAAACGAGAATTCTCAGGAATCGGCTCTGCTTCATGGCAACCTGTCCGCCGGCTACTTCCATCTGTCCCTTTGGTCCGCCTGTGCTTGGCACTGCTGCCTGGCCCTCGAGCTCCGTCTCCAGGGCCCAGAAAACGTGAGGGACCGGAACATAGAGCTGCGGCTCAACAAACGCCTTCTTTCAGCGGCTGGGAAAATCGGATTTGACGGACCGGCTTGCTCTTCTGTCCGCCCGGGGGATGCTGCTCTATCTGATTATATTAAGGCGTTGAAACAATTTATCTACGATTCAACCGATCTTACTTGTAAAAGTGGTATGCTTAATACTTATTCAAAAAGCAGTCCACCTGTTCCAAGATATGGCCGAAATCCAACAGTAAGTTTTTCTTATAGCCAAAATAACTGGATTTCGACTAATCTGATATTTCATTGTCTGGCTGACTTTCATCATAA